GCACTAGGAAGTGATGTGGTGGAGGTAGGTAGACTCCACACAGTTTCAAATGTAGATATGATAAGAGCCCAATAGGCTCAGGAACCTGTACATCAGTTGAGAGGTAGGGATCAAAAAGCCAATGCTCAATCCCCACAAGCACAACTAGGCGAGTACTTGTACTGAGGAAAATAAGTACTCCAAGTAGGCTTGATATTAAAACCTTATAATTTATACAAGTGGTAAGCTACCAGACCACACTGTACCACTAACCAGTTCAGGGATTTATTTTGGGAGCCTGTGGTCATTACAGCAAATATCTTGCCCTTGGCTGAAAGGTTTCAGGCAAACTAAGGTGTAACTGATAACACTGATGATAATACTTAGTATAAAACTTCCTTACTTATGTTACAGGAGGCAACCTTATACATATTGAATTATAATTGGACACTGCAAAACAAATTACCATAACAGCCATAGAAAATGGAAAATTATTCATTACTTAAACATATTTCTTGTTAAGTAATAAAACAATTACCCAGTTGTCAGAATTATCTTAAAATAAAAAATGCTTACCATGCTTAATTCCTTATTACAGTATTTGCACTTCCATTCTTAGTCAAAATGGGAAGAGCAAATCTGTCAAACTTCTCACCCCAGCTTAGTGTATCCTTCTCTGGCCTCGTATATCAGGATGAAAATAGGGCAGTTAGTTTTTCAAACTCATATTTTATTCACACAATTTCAGATAGCTTATAGCAGGAACAACAATGAAATTAATGACAGGAAAGAGAGAGAGAACATCTTGCTAGAGACTACACTTTCAATGGATAGACTAATGATAAATTAAATATGAGAAAAATGTTTTAGAAACATATCAGCATGAGGGCAAGAAGAGATATGGCAACAATTTTACCACTATTACTTTAATGAGTCAATAATTTAAGCAATATTGATGAGTTATAACAATGAGCCAAATTATTCACACAGACAAAAACCAAAATATAAATTCAAAAGCAACCACTGTACTCATGCAGAAGCTCAACTAGCATGCAGCATTCTTTAATAATTATTTAGAGCATTGCTGTCAAGTCTTGCGGCATCACCATGTCCTCTCAATACTATCAAAGGCCTAGAGGAGGCAACATCCTTTAATTCGAAATACCGCATCAACCACACAAGCACTTTCATCCCCACATACATAGGCTCTAACTTTTATATTTGCCATTAACAATATCAAACACTTTGTTTTTGGCCTCCGTTAATTGCAATCATAGCAGGAACTGCATTATGAGTTCATTAATGTTGTATCTGCCAATGATGAACAATGCTGTAATAACAAACTACCCTAAATACTTATAGTTCAATACAACCTTTGCATAACTACCTGTTTGTATCATAAACTAGTGCAGTGAATAACTAAGATACAAGATGATATCCTTCCAGCAACTGTAAGTAATGAATTAAGCTTCATTATTCATGTCCTATTATTACAAATGACAGTTATAAAAAATTTCAACTATGATCATAGACACGAAGAAGATGTACGTGTTTAAAGAAAACCATAGCCATCACAGCTGGCATTAAAGACCATTTAGAGTACGTAATCTCACTACAACCTGCAAATCTGGGGCCAGATTCACGAAGCAGTTACGCAAGAACTTACGAACGTGTGCCTATTTCCTCAAACTTTAACAGTTTTTGGTTACATTTATTAAACAGTTTAAAACCACGAAAACTTGCCTATCAACTGTTGTTATCATTATAAACAGTCGACTGGTTCTTCGGAGCTCATTAACTGTTTAATAATTGTAAACAAAACCGCAAAAGATTGTGAAAAGATGTACAGATTTGCAAGTGCTTGCGTAACTGCTTCATGAATCTGGTCCCAGGTCACCTGCAAAAACCTGAACACCGAGATTGATGTGAATGCCAAGATAAGCTACATGCATTAACAATGAAAAAATAAATCATATTTAAAATTTAAGTGACAAAGGCTTGACAAAAATCTATTCCAAATTCATGAAATGTCCTCAAAGTAAAATTCGGGGATAACAAGTTTAGTGTTTTGGATGACAAATTTATAGAATAAAATAATCAAAATTATATCAACTTTAATCAATGCACTTTACACATTTTATATGTGGTTTTTGGCTTCATCCTCATATAAATACATCAATACATTCATTCTATTATTAGAAGTATCTAACCATTTGCCTTGGATGTTTTAATTAAGAATAAATTATATTCAATACAAGGCATACATTTGCAATTTCTCAGTATTGTTTATGTGGATATTTAAAATATTTTGCAAGCATTTCAATTTATAACTGGTAATGCTAAACATATTGAATTTTTCACTCTTGATTATCTACAGGACATCATTTAATCTAGCAGCTATCTGAAGCGCATTATTATTATGTCTCGAGAAACAAATGGGTAGTGCATTCAACATTTAATGTCTAATTTATCTTTTAATTGCATATATTACAAAATTGCATTAATATTTGGTACACAGAAATCATCATATCAATTACTGTAATCTATTCAACAGTGGTCTCAGTAGCAAAATCTACGGTGTCTAAGTAAACATCTCACTATTTACACACTTCACTTGCTAAGAATCTTATTCTAAATCAGCATAAATTAACTGCACTGACTGCACACAAAGAATATCCTGGTATAAATATTATCCAAATGCACGATTGTTAAAAAAAAATAAGAAAAAAAAAGGGAATACGCAGAGGACAAACTCTTACAGAAGAATAGAAACCTTGCGATCAACCAATTTCATTGATTAATAAGCTGAAGTGAATGAACCTGTTTACAAAACAGATCCTTAAAGAAAAAAGTTTAGAAAAATGGTATATATTTCTTTAGTAGCTATTATATAAAAAAAAATAATGTGCACACAGGTGCACATACACACAAATATTATATATTATATATATATAAAATATATATATATATATATATATATATATATATATATATATATATATATATATATATATATATATATATATGTCGTACCTAGTAGCCAGAACTCACTTATCAGCCTACTATGCAAGGCCCAATTTGCCTAATAAGCCAAGTTTTCATGAATTAATTGTTTTTCGACTACCTAACCTACCTAACCTAACCTAACTTAACTTTTTCGGCTACCTAACCTAACCTAACCTATAAAGATAGGTTAGGTTAGGTTAGGTAGGGTTGGTTAGGTTTGGTCATATATCTACGTTAATTTAAACTTCAATAAAAAAAAATTGACAACATACATAATGAAATGCGTAGATTTATCATTTCATAAGAAAAAAATTAGAGAAAATAACTTAGTTCAGGAAAACTTGGCTTATTAGGCAAATCGGGCCTTGCATAGTAGGCCGATAAGTGCGTTCTGGCTACTAGGTACGACATATATATAAATATATATATATATAAATATATATATATA